TCTCTCTCTCTCTCTCTCTCTCTCTCTTTTCTTTATTGTTCTGTTATTGCATTATGATCAATTTTCGGACAGAGAAGTAATTCAAGATAAGCATCATTGGGTTTTTGGTAGGCCTGGTTAAGATAGGAATAGGACTCATGCTGTGCAGCTGGGAAATAGTATATTGTTATTATGAAATGGGTAGTTTTGTGGCTGAGTATGGTTTTCTTGGTCATCAGGTCCTGTGATTAGTTTTCTTTTCTGTTTATTCTTTTTCTTGGTTTCTTGACATTTCTCTTTCATTTGTATTTCCCTTTCTCTTTATGGTATTTAAATGTTCCGATAAATCATTGTTGAATCGAAGTTCAAATAACTCACATCTAACCTCATCAGCCCCTATGCTTTCTTAGAAGCTGGTGTTGTAGTTTTGCCAAATGCTGATCATCCTAGAAAACAAATTGATCTGTTAAACACAGACATCCATGAATTCCACACATTGTTGCAATAACCAGGATTTAATGAACTGCAGTTAGAAGCAAATTGATTCAGTATAAGTTATGATGGTTTACAGAAAGTCTTACATTGAGACATAAGTTTTCTCAGGATTTAATTATCTTTACACCTTGGTTTTAATTATTTATTTGTGTCATCCATTTATTTCTCTATAGATTTCTCACTATATATCTGTTAGGCATATTAGAATGGATTTATAAATCCAAATATGGTAGGAATGGTGGCTACACAAAGCCCTATCCTCATCCTTATTCAGGAGCACCAAGGATTGTCAAAAGGTCACAAGATAAATTAAAGAAATTCCTAGCTAAGAGGAGAATCAGAAGGGATAAGAATCATGCATTTGCCGAGAATCTTAATATGGGAAGGAGTAGGTTCCATTGGTCTGATAATGGGTCTCTGATGCTAGGGAGTATTAAAATGAGGTTCCAAAATCAGGATCATGATTATTATTGGTTTGTATTGGAAGGTCAGGCTTTCACCCATGCTAACTCAAAAGTTCCAGTAATAGAAAAGTGAATAATTTTAGAAAGATGAGAACATTTTTCTATCCTTTTCCTTGTCTCTCATCATTTTACAAAAGGGATAAGAATCATGCATTTGCTGAGAATCTTAATATGGGAAGGTGTAGGTTCCATTGGTCTGCTAATGGGTCTCTGATGCTAGGGAGTAAAAGTGAGGGTTTAAATCAGTATCATGATTAGGATTGATTTGTATTGGACGGTCAGGCTTTCACCCATGCTAACTCAAAATTTCCAGTAATAGAAAAGTTAATAATTTTAGAAAGCTGAGAACAGTTTTCTATCCTTTTCGTTGTCTCCTCTCATCATATTCATTCTTTGTGTCAGTAAATGTGGGTAGTGATTCTGCTCCATTATGAATGAAGTCTTATTCTCTGTATTGTAGTATCAAGAGATCATAAATAGGATCAAAGGGGAGATTATAAGAAGAACATTAGTAAGGCAAATGTTATAGAATAAACTTGGACATAACCACTTTCAAAAAATTTGATGTTTTGTTAAATTTTAATGTAATTTGTGCATCTAGTTGATCTATTGATACAATAAAATAATTATCAAAAACCTTTTAGATGGGAGATGCTCCCAAGTAAGGTTCGTTGTACCATGGCATACCGCTCGGTATGGGCGGTACATCGGTACACTCTAATGTACTATGTGTTGATATGTTCGGTACAACTCGGTACATATCGTACCGATAGCTGGTCGGTATATCGGTATGAACCGGTAAGACGAACCATACTCCCAAGATTGCAATGTCAGCTGGCCGCATTCATGAGCCACATAAAGAAAAGGGGAAGTTTCTCTGATGTGCTGTGAATTTGAGTTATTGCAAGAATAGGGTATTTGAATTCAATTTCATGATTTGAAGTGACTAAATTCTTGAAGCTAACCCGTCTTTTCTTGGTGGTCTTGTTCATCTTCCACAATTAATGAAACTTGCTGCAGAGTTGCTATACCTTGTTTCTGCATGAAATCTTCACATTTGTGGCAAGATAAGTTTTATGCTTTAACTTCTTTGGAATGTTAAGATCATAATCCCCAAGTTAGTTCCAAGAAGAAATCATAGTTGTTCACAAACAGTTTACAAATTCTTTGTAGTTCTAGTGGTTGGTTGATGGTGTTAATGCTGAACTTAGTGTGCCATGTTGTCTCCTAATTATTTTCAAGTCCTGCAGACATCTTCTGACTAATTCATTTCCTTAATCTTATAACGTTATTAGATAAGTGTAACTAATAGTTAATACTCACTACCATGGTTTGAACTTTGAAATTCTGGGTGGTTATTTACTGGTACCAGGCTGAATAGGCATGCAGATTGGAACTTTTCAGTTTTCACCCAGTTTGGTCCAGTTTACAGGTTACTGCCCTGTAACTTTGAGTTGGGCTTACTGCCCAGTTCTAAGTTATTTTGTGTGTTAAGTTTAGAGTTGGTTTTTAACTTTTTAACACCTTCCCTCAACTGAAATGTGGATTCACCTCACACTGCCTCCTGCTGCATATGCTGTCCACTGCCATCCAGTATTTCTCGTCTCCCCCACCTTCTCTTCCTCCTAGTATGCTCCTCTCCTCCTCCTCCTCATGCTACTACTACTACTACTACTGTGACCCTTTCTCAGTGCCAACCAGTATGAGGCTGTACCATATGTTGATATGCTAGTATGTATCAGATCCATGCCGGTCTGTCTATCAGGGTCTGCAATTGAAATTTTAGGCCCTGCTTATTAGTTTGGAATTTTAGCATGTAAATGTAAATTCTAAACTTGCTCACTAGTTTGATATTTTCGCATGTAAATGTTATCCAATAGGATCAGAATGGTTGATGTCTATGCCTGCACAAATAACCTTATCATTCTGCATGAGTTTCAGCTTCACAGCATAATATAGTATGATGTTCTCTGTGCACCTTATGATGATTCGTCTGGTTGTCCATTTATGCAACCCTGCAGGGAGTGAAATATCATTCTTCAAGAATGGAGTATGCCAAGGTGTTGCTTTTACCGATCTTTTTGGAGGCCGATATTATCCTGCTGCCTCAATGTACACGCTTCCTAACCAGCCAAACTGTGAAGTGCGATTCAATTTTGGGCCTGATTTCGAGTATTTTCCTCAAGATTTCGGTTGCCGTCAAATTCCCTGTCCTATGAGCGAAGTTCCATATCATGGATTTGATGGCAAGGTTGAAGGTCCTGCAGAAAATGGCTTCTCAGAAAAAACAAGTTAACCAAATTTTTTCGTCAATTTAACCTTTTATGAACACGGTGGGACATTGTAGTATGTAGTCCGTCAGTTTCACTAATTGCTGAGGTTTAGACCTGCATATGATCCTTCTGCTAATTATCTATTCTTGTGTTGCCTCTGGTGCTGTGTTCATGTGTGCTAAAAAATCTTATACCTGTACTCAGACAAATGAGCCAAACCTGTCATTGTTTGACATTAATACAAGTGGTCAACTCTGTGCTATTGCAATTAAAAAGCTTTGACATCTACTCTCTCTTTAGCAGCCATGTCAAATTGTTTGATTGGCCATGGTGCAGGGTTGCCGATGACGGATTTGATCACTTTCCTGAGGCAGCAAACCTGAGCTAATCTGCTATCTACAAATAAGTTGACCGCTGGGAACTCGGTCAACATGCATGTTACTATGTATATACATGATTATATATTTGTTGTATCTTTATGAATTTACCAGACCCCAATAAGAAAATATCCTTACATATTTTGATTATGGAACTTTTTCTTGAGTCAAATATTGCTGAAGGGAGCTAAACAACAGAAGGAACTTGTCATTTTGTAGGCAATATCAAGGGAGGTATTGCCTAACTTGTAGGAAATGGGATTATGATCTCAACCTTAGGTTGTTAACTTCCCTTCTAGAAAGAGGGTAACTTTTATTAATATGAGTGAGATGATTTAACTATAATTTTCCATCCCTTTCTTGTGGAGAGAATTTATAGCATTCATATCTCTCCTGTCCCCTGTGATGATAAGTGAATATGGAGTTACTGCATATGGTGCATGTAGGTAAAAGAATGGAGAAAATGAAAGTGAGGCATGCTGGTTTGGCTGCAAGGTAGTGTGGATGCCAAGGATTGGTTCTCCAAATAAGTTCTTTCTTTGAGAATTATTTTGGAGCAAGCTACCTACATTGGATTTGCCATCTGGAATCTTTCATTCGTTGCCCGAGCCTTGTTTGGTATTCTGTCCTCTTCAAGATTTGGCCAAGCACACTTTATTTGACTGCTCTTCTGCCACCATGTATTGGGCTTTGATTTAAGAAAAGAACCAGTTGAATTCATCTTTTGATCTCTTTGACAATGGTACTAAGGTGCTTGGCTTCAAATGGTTCCTGACTTGGGAAAAAGGAGGTAGAGACAATCCAATGTTTGATAGCCGACTCTCTTTGGTGTCTCTGGAACCATCAGAATGGCTCCCACCCAGCATTTCTCTCTTTGGTGTTGAGCTACTGCCCCTACCAGTGATTACATCAGTCTTACACCCAGTCCTACCAAGGGGATGTGACAGAGAGAAAGAGAGAGTGGAGGTTACAAGGAAGAAGATGTGGCATCCTAAATCAATTGTTTCTCCGTAAAGATGTTGAGCTAGTTATGACCAATTAGGTGATGAGGAATGCAAGCGAGTTTTAGTGCATCTGTTAGCTAGTTTTGGTCACATACAAGAATCAGCTCAAGTTGGGAAGCTGAATTCAATAGCTTCTGCAAGGAGACTTGTGTGATTAGCTTGCAGCTGATGGATTAATGGAGATAATATTCCTTTCAAGAAAAAAAGAGCCCAAGGTCTATTGAACCAGCCAGTCCTTATCACTTTAATTGGTTTGAGACATATGGATAACAAGTAGACAAAAGAAGAGTCTCTGTACACGCCAGAAGCATAGCGTGGAAATTGGGGGGAGCAGATTGGCAGTTCAAAGAAATTTTGCACGTGTGAAAGCAAAGAAAAAGAAGGATAAAGGTCTAAACAATCATAGCCTTCTCACGGAGTATGTGGAAACTATGTGTCTCAATATTCGATAATGATAAAAGTAAGATAATGTAGTAAAATGAGACGACCAAAAGTTACATCGAAAATATTCCCTATAATTATATATATTTATGAACCCAAAAATTCATACGTCAATGATAAGATTTCGATATTAAATGCAGTGAAGGGCTCAAAGGGAGTTGGCGTGTGCTTCTCTCCTCGGAGGAAGAGCACGTGAAAAGGGAGGAAAAAGAGAGACGCCACGCAGCCGTCGCTTCTATCCATTTCCTCTTCACGTCAAAGCTTGTGTTGGACCAAACAAATAATATGTTTAGGTGAAGCATTACCAATCTCATAAGGATAGGAACTACATTAATTGCACTCGGAGAAAAGAAAAGATGAGGGAGGGTGTTTGACCAAGCTTTCTTTGGTTCACTTTGATTTCTTTACCTTTACCATATTTTACACCTGAGGATAGATTTTGACATAACATCAGATTATTATTCTTATTTATAAATTAAAAAGATCAAAGATCTAAATCATAGAAATAATTCACTTACTATCGAATGAGATTTTGAATCATCAACATTTAGTAAGTGATGATTGTGTTAGCTGTAATATTTGATAGGTTGATTTGATATTATCACTACACCAATACTTTTTATATGTGATATTATAATGCAGTGGTTTTTTTATTAAATAATTATGAAGAAAGAAGGAAAAGTAAACTAAGTGAAGCTTTTGTTCAACATGAGCCATATATTACAGTACCCACTGCTCTGTTGGGTCTGCTCTCTCTTGTCACTCTGCACCGCAGGCATTGAGTCCCGTCTTCCCAATGCCCGTTGCCTCCATCTCTCTCTCTCTCTCTCTCTCTCTCTCTCTCGTATGAGTGGTAACTGTTAAGTGCAGGAGGAGATGGGTCTCAAACCCCTCGGTCTGCAAATGATCCCATGGTGCTTCCACGTAGCAGCAGGCGCCACACGCCACTCCTCTTCCTCCTCCTCTTCCTGGTTCACCGCCCATGACGACGACGAAGCTACAGCAGACTCGCCGAAGCCCTCCGTCCGTCTCGTGGGCCCTGACGGCCACATCAAGCTCTACCACTGCCGTGTCTCCGCCGCAGAGCTCATGGCCAGCCACCCCCTCCACCTCCTCTGCCGCTCCGACGCCTTCGTCATCGGCCAGCCCCTCCCCGCCCTGTCCCCCGACGACTGCCTGCTCCCGGGCCACACCTACTTCCTCCTCTCCTCCCACTTCTTCCACTCCGCCCTATCCTTCGCCTCCCTCGCCTCCTGCTTCGGAGCCTTCAAGCAGCGGGGGGGCGGCGCCGGCGCCCCTCTCCCGCGGCTCATCGAGATCCAGAAAACGGCCGCCGGCAGGCTCCAGGTCCGCGTGTCCGAAGAGTACCTGGATTGCCTGTGGAGATCGGCATCGGAAGAGGAGGCTATGGATAGGAGAGGGAGGAGAGTGTGCACCACCGAGGAGTTGGCGAAGGATTACAAGCAGTTGGTGAGCTGCCGCTCCTGGAAGCCGAAGCTGGAGACGATCAACGAGGCGGAGCGGAGGAGGAGGAGCGGCGGTGCCCCTTTTGGTGGGATTGGCAGAAGGAAGAAGCGTGCCCACCGCAAGAACAACCACCACAACAAGGAAGACACCGGCTGACATCAATTCCTCTGCTGCTGAATGCATATGCACTTCCTTCTATCTTTCATTGTAACACACATACATATCCCATCAACATTATTGCAAACAACACCATGAGACACAAAACGATTGCAAGTTCACCAGTTCTTAGTCGAGAGAGAGAGAGAGAGAGAGAGAGGAACGCAGGGTGGTCGTCGCAGGAGCGGACAGAAGAGTGGTCAGACTGGTCGTCCCCTCTTCCTCGATTACTGCATTCAGAGTCGTCGAATTCCAGCACGTGCGACGGTCACTGCGTTGATCTCTTAGTTCCGTGTTTGGACTTTGGTTCACTATCCAACCACAGCACATTGCAGTATGCAATCCAAATCTCAATCGGTGGCGTATCTATTTAGTTCGATTCTCGTTTAATAGATTAGGACTTTTGAGTAGAAGGCGATTGTTGATCCGATCTGCATACCATAGAGTTAGAAATGATTGTCAATCCTATCTGATTCGTGATATGACCTCCCAAATTGTTTTACTCGTTATCAGCCTCGTTTGATTTTGCAGAATTATTATATAGAGTCACATATGACAGAATTATTATTTTTTCCAAGGATGTACTCCTCGATGCATT